ATCTGCCACGTTTTATCACGAACTGCAGATTCTGATAAGCTATGCTTTCCAGATAGCTTTTAGTATACAACTACTTTACCACATATTCTGGTCCATCTCAGAAATCTTTATACGCAGTGTATTAACTGTTGCTTTTGGACCTGTAACGTCATACTTGGAGATATTTTCTCTCTCTTTTTGTTTGTCACCCAATGAAATACTTACTGCTTGCAGAACATTCGATACTTGTCAAACCTTTACGTCATGTCCTTGCTGCCAGATGATCTTGCTTATGAAGATACTTCTTTGTAAACCCATCAAATTATATCTATCCTGAAGATTAACTGTTATTTCTATATTAACATTGTTGATTTATTCTACACCTTTCCTTCTCTTCTGTTAATAACAATAATTAAAAGAAATGTACACTGTCCACTTTCACGGTATATCGAGTTTCATCTCCTACACATGCATTATGACCAGTCATCACTCCTATTTTATTATATTGCCTGACTAAACCCTCTACTGGCCTACTAGCAAGTGTAAATAAGTCCTCTTATAAGAAGCAGAAGTAAGCTTATTTTTTGTTGTTTTTTTTTTCAAATCGTTTTAATTTTTTGAGAATCACGGGTTGCGGTTTTTTTGTTTATTTGTTTTTGAATTTCGCACAAAGCTACACGAGGGCTATCTGCGCTAGCTGTCCCTAATTTAGCAGTGATAGACTAGAGGAAGGGCAGCTATTCAACACCACCCACAGCCAGGTCTTGGGCTAATCTTTTACCAGTGGATAGTGGGAGTGACAGTCACATTATAACGTGTCCATGGCTGAAAGGGCGAGCATGTTTGGTGGGACAGGGATTCGAACCCGCGACTTTCAGATTGCCAGTCTGACCCTAACCACCTGGCCATGCCGGGCCCAGTATTAACAAAAATGTTAGTTCTTTTTATATTTGTTTTGATAGTTATTCAAAAATAAGATACCAATAAATTATAAAATCTATAAGTGTCTATGCTTTATAGATAGTTTGCTATCAATTGAAAAGAAATATTGTGATAAGCAGGCATATCATATGTTTTCTGCCTTTTTTAGGGACATAGAAATTTTTAATTTTTGGGTATTGTTTATATTCCATGCTGTAATAATGGTAACACGTGGTCCAAAAAGTCGTTAAGGCTACCTTGTTCAAGTTATTTCGTTTCTTTGTTCTCTATAGTAGGTGATGTTTCTTCTGCCTGAGAGGATATCGCAGTAATATATATAGC